CTGCTTCTTTGAGATTTAGGTTAAATTACTTGAGATAGAAGGCCAAACAATCTTTTAACAGGAGAGTATTAAAACGGGATATAGGTTTTGCATAGGTGCTAGTTAAGGCCACACAATAGGTATCTTCCCATCAAGATGAGATCCTCAGCACTGAGCAGGCTGGATGACCTCAACAACAGTGTTCTGTGTCTGAATTTTTGCTGAGGTCAAGAAAGAGGATAGCATCTTCTTCTATAGGTCCCAGCATGTGGTACCAGCCAGGCTCAGATCCATAATTTTAAAATATTGTGTAAAACAAGCTATCTCTCTTATTCGCTAATCACAATAAGACACACCGCTGCTCTTTCTGTAAGAATGTGTGCAGACATTAAGCATGCAGCAAGAGGACATATGGATGCAATCATTGCATTTTCTTGTCAGAAAGAAGCAATCAGTTAGACGTGATCCCATGCTCCCTTTCTGTTCCACAAATTCTGCCAGCACCTAGCTCTTCACTTGTATCGTCGCTATATAACAGTAAGTCGATGAAATAAAAAAGCAAACTGTTAGGATTTGCTCTGGAAGATAGGAGATGGGAAAGAAGCAGGCTGAGAGACGGTAATAGATAACATAAAACCTAGTAATGGTCCTTCATATTCTGTAGCACAAACGTCATTACCAATTAACCTGGAACAAACTTAAGTTTGTAAAATGCTTGTGGCATCTTACTGCTACCAGCACACAGCTTTACAGCCACTGACAAACAATGCAAAACTCTGATATTTTTGGAGATGGGGAAGGAGAAGAGGAATCATGTCAACCACAACACAAAGTACTGCCCTAGAGAAGTACTTCTGTCTACCCAGATGGGAGTGAAAATGTGGTGATGCAGGTCACCTCACAGTTGTTCGTGAGCTGAACAAGAGGACTGTAAGCCTAGACACAAGCAAGGTAGTTTTTAAATGAAACCAGCAGTATGCATAGTGCAGGGAAAAAAGAAAAGCTCTGATGCCAAAGGATGCTAAAGTGTATTTTTTTAAGTACAGTCATCCAAAAGTAATTATTAGCTCTTCAGTTTCTGAATACACTTGGCCTTAAAGTATTAACATGTGCTTTTTATTTTATGCCTCAAATTGCATGAAATGAATTAAATACACACCAAATGGTATGAGCAATCTCTTAAGCACTAGCTAGTTCAGTGACTGATCTTCTGCTTTAGTATGAAGGGTAAAGGTTTATTTTTTTCTGTCATATGATCCATCATCATACAGTTCATGTGTTAGGAATCTCTCTCTGTCCACTGGCAACATTACTTGAAGCATGCTTGTAACATTTTCGCTCAGTTAAGAAATGAGAAGCAGGAGAAACACTTGCGAAGCTGGCAGTTTATTTAATTTCCTTCAGTTTTATGCAACATGAAATGCAGCAATTTTTGTTACCGCTCAAACATGCTGACAGAACTTTGACATAGTATTTTTTTTTCTCCGTGGTAATTACTAGTGTTGGTTTGCATGTGCTAAGAATAATGACACACATGAATAACTTGCTACACTTTATGACTCACGGAGATGCCTTCGCAGAAATGATCTTGGTCACAGTGTGTTTGCCAGGCACTGCGTGGAGAGCTTTTCAGTGGGGATGGTTAGTGGTGTTTTATTTTATCAGCTTCTCCCTCATCAGGTGAAGAATACACTACCTATATAAAGACTGCTCGAAACTGCCCTTCCCCCAGCCCTGTATAAATATTTTGGTTTAGCCCCATTTGAATCACAGAGCCAAGGAGTTTCATCCTTTGTTTCAACCATAACAGTGTGTTGTTTGAAGTCACTCTTTCAAACTGAGATAACCAGGTCTCTGCTTTCCAAAGCCGCCACTTCCCGAGACCCTTGAGGCTGTGATCTTACACATGCTCCCTGCTGGCATTCCATTGGTAACTGTTTTTGGGGGAGGCACACACAGGCAGCCCCCCCTTCCCAGTGCAGGGGGAAGTTGTTGTTCACCTTAATGGCTGCAGTGGGACACGGTGGCCAGGCACCAAACATAACCCTGTATTGGGCACCCATGCTCCAGGGCACCTGGAGATGCTTCAGCCCACGCAGCTGGGCAGGAGGAGGAGGAGGCACACACGTGCGCCAGAAACACTCAGGCAGGGGAGCTGAGCCAAAATGCAGATGAGTGCACGGCACATACTTTGAAAGCACGACAGGGTTTTCACTCCTGAGTGTCCTCTCCAGTGTCGCAAGAGAAATTCTGGAGGAGTAAGTCATACCTTCGCTGGAGCGCTGGCTGCAATGCAGCTCTGCCACATACCTGCCACCTCTCGTTCCCTCCTTGTGCTTTAAACCTCTACATTTTTAGGACCTTATTCCCACTCTGTTTTGGCAGCAGTGAGAATACTTCCCTGGGATGCCCAAACAGTCAGCTATTCCTCCTCTCCTCCAGTGAACTCCCAAATGAGCACTGCAGCAGCTTGGAGGGACAAATCAAATCCTTGGATAATGGTCCATTGTGTTCAGCACAAGATGTCACGTACCTTAATATTTTTAAAAATGCTAACAAGTTTCTTTAATTCAGTATGAGAGAGCATTTTTTGGCCTAATTCTGAGGCATCATTGCTGAAAACAACAGAAAGCATCAGTGGGTCTTCAACAAAACATCTCCAAAGTTTACAGCCTGGTGCTGACACCTCGACTGTGCATTAGGTTATGCAGAACTCCTGTCATCTCTCATTGTCAGTATGTCAACATTCACACAAAAGCACAGATAAGGACTAAAGCGATTGTGAGGACGATTAAGCTTCCTAAAAGAGAATTAAACACATAGGTACACTATGGAATTATTTCAAGACAAAACAAAAACTATTCTTATCTTTAACTCTCTAGCTTAAATATTTTGAAAAAGTGTAGTACAGTGGTATTATAGAGAGAACAATAGAGAATAATTCAGGTTGGAAAGGAGCTCTGAAGGTCTTTGTCCCAATCTGCTCAAAGAAGGGCTACCTACAGGGCTCAGCCAGGCTGCTCAGAGCTTTGACCAGCCCAGCCCAGAGAGACCTTCAAGGACACAGCTTTCCCTTGCTCTGTGAGCATTAATTTCTGTATATCCAACTGGCATGCTCTCTGCTGCAGCTGTGCTCCTCTGAGAAGAGTCTGGCTCCTTCTTTGCTAAAACTTCCACTGAGTAGTTGAAAGCAGCAACAAGATTCCACATTAGCCTGCTCTTGTCCACACCAGTGGAACCCAGATCCTGCACTTGTAAAGGAGTAACAGAGAACTTTACACTAAGTGGTAATGAAATTAAATACTGTATATAATAAGAATGACTTAAAAAAAAAAAAATTAGAAATTGAATAGAGGAAAATACAGCCAAGTTAATCATTTTGCTCTGGATCCGGAACATCAATTTAGCAAGAAATAAGTAACACCCAGCCTTTCATCTTATCTTTTTGACAGATGTTTCCCCTGTATAAAGGGTGGCACAATTGTTTTTGTCAGTATTATAATTAAAATTGCTATCCAGCCAACACAAAGTTTTTAATGGTTTCCCTTGAGATTATAACAGATGTTGCCTTATTAGATAAGAACTCTCCCAAAGTGAGAAATGTTACTGGCATAAAACTTTTCATTCAATCTCAACGTGTGCTGTCACGATTCACCTGGTAACATTTGGCCATAAGGAATGAAGTACCAGCCACCGTCCTGAAGAGAGAGGAAAAGGCATCCTGAAGGTTTTGGAAGAAGTACTAGAAAACCAAGAGTTGTGGTTTGATCTTTGCTATGGCCAGAAGTAGATGGAGAGCATAGAAGGAGGTTGCCTTGTCAGCTGCACCTCCACCAGCCAGATACTACAGGTTCTTATCAGTATAAATAACCATCATTTAATCATTTGGCAGAGGGTCTTTGGAAATCTGGTGAGTAGCAGTTTTCTGGTTCCCGTTACAAGAAAAGATACAACTGCATGCTAAGTTGAAATGGCAGCTAGTTTAAATAAAGCAACATGTAACGGTGAACTCCAAGAACGCTTTGCAAAGGCAGCTTAGGTCCCTGACTCTCACTGAACAGCTGGAGAAGTGGAGGGTGGAAGTGCTGAGGTGCTGTGGTGCTCAGCCTGCGTGTCGGTGGCACGGGGCTCCATGGCACCCTCCCAGGGCTACCAACTTTGTGTGAGGTCTGAGAAGCTGCTTAGCCGATTGTAGTCCCCAAGACATCTACAGAACATGCAACATGGCACAACTGCTGAGTTTCTTTAAGTAATGTGTCCCAGTGTATTATGAAATACACTAGTCATACAGATACTTGGGATTTCATGGGTTGATTCTCCTAATCTTAGCCCTCCCGAGGACAGGTATTAATTAACCATACAAAAATATTTGCCAAGCGCTGGCACAGCTGCCGGGAGAGGCTGTGGTGCCCCATCCCTGGAGGCGCTCAAGGCCAGGTTGGATGGGGCCCTGGGCAGCCTGAGCTGGTGGGGGGCAGCCCTACCCAAGGCACGGGTGGGGGTGGGCAAGCTTTGAGGTAACTTCCAAACCAAACTGTTTTGTGATGCTGCGAGCTCTTGTACAGCAAAGGGAAGAAAGCTGCCTTTCTGAACGACACCAAAGATCCTATCCTCTTCCCATGCTCCCCAGCGAATCCCGCAGGCCCTACTCTGAGCACAGCGTTAAACCAAACACTCCTCCCGTTGCCCGGAGGGAACCTCACTCTTGTGCTGACAGACTGACAGACAGACCTACACACATACGCACACAATCAGCGGGGGATTCACAAGCCCCCGGAGCAGCCCCGCCAGACCCAGCGAGGCCCCCGGAGGGCCGAATCCCACCCCGCTGCCCGCCGCCCTAGATGAGCGCCGAGGCAGGCCGCACGCAGAGGCCGGCCTCCGGGGGGCGGTCCCGCCTCCGCCCCCGCCCCTGCCCGCTGAAAGCGCCCGGCAGGCCAGGCGGCGCGGCACAGCGCGGCACAGCGCGGCAAAGGGTGGCACGGCCCTACGAAGCGGCCAGCGGCACGGCCGGTAGCGCCCACGCAGGCGCCCGCCTCCCGCCCGCCCCTTTTCTCCTCCTCCGGGACTCTCCGCTGGGATCGAGCCGGCCGTGCCGCTGTTGTTGTTGTCGGTCGGTTGTGCCACATCGAGGATATTTTGGCTCCCGCAGAGGCAGCGGCGCTTTCTTTTATCCGTTTTCTGGGGAGAACTGCGTGTGCGCGGCGCCGCTGCGAAGCGGAGGACCAGGTGAGCCGGGCTGCTCGCCCCGTGCCGTCCCATCTCACCCCCGGGCGGCGGCGGGGACCTGGCGGCGGTGGGGGGAAGGGGTTAATAGGGCGCTCTGGACTGGCTGCGGAGAGACCCCGAGGGCTGAGCTGTACCATCGCTGCGCCCAACTTTGAGGTGGGAGAAGAGCGCGCGTGGGGAGGCGAAGCTGTTCTCTGTTTCCGGGCCCCCGGGAGCTGCTGTGTCCGAACCGATGGGGAGCGAAATCTGTCTGTCGGCTTTCAGGACTTGCCGTGGGATCGCGGCGTGCCGGCTGTGGGTGCGCACCTGGTCCTCGCTGAAAAGGAGTCGATCAGAATTCAGGAGTATTAGTTAATAAGTGCCTGATCCTGTTGACCCTGTTCTGGTTCACCCACTCAGCTATGCGGGGGAGGCGAGGAAGGTGTCCTGCCGGCTAAACCAATTACAGCTGGCAGGGAGCAGTCATCGGCGTTGCTGAGGAGCTGGGAGCCAGGCCCAGGCACACCGTGTGTCTTGTCTGAACTCAACTCAAAACCAGCTGCAGCTCTCTGCATCGCTGGAGCTGCTCTGTCCTCTCGGTGCCGTGGTGCCTCCTCAGGTGTTTGGGGCTGGTGGTGCTGAGGGAGGGAGAAAACTGGAGCGAAACAGCTCTTCCTGTGTTGTTGGTAGAGCAGAGAGCTGCATGCCTTGTGAGAAACCTGATGGGAAGGCCACAGAATGAACAGTCTGACATAGAAATACAAGGAGCCAGGTTAAGGAGCAACACTGGGTGGTGAGGGCTTCTTGGAGATCTTTTATCTCAGCACCCAAAGTGCTTCTGAGGAAACAGAAAAATCAGGAAGGGAAGAAGCTCTTAATCACAGAATTGTAGGGCTTGGAAGGGACCTCTGGAGATCATCTAGCCCAGCTCCCTGCTAAAGCAGGTTCCCTTCAGCAGGTCACGCAGGAGAGTGTTCAGATGGGTCTTGAATATGTCCAAAGAGGGAGACTCAATCAATGGGAACGTCCCAAAGAGGAGTCCTGTGAAGGCCTGGCTAGCACCTGAATTGTCAGAAATTCTATCCCCCACTGGAGATTGGATCTAGGATTACTGAAAATGTGCATAGTGTCCTCTTGAATGCCTTCCGATTGTTGAGGCTTGCAGCTAGTTTTCCTATGTACCTGTAGAGGTTACAAAGGCCGTTAAAAATTCCATATACATAGGTTTGTTTGTTTGTTTGTTTTTTACAAAAAGCCCATTTGAATTAAGGATGAACGGTTGTTTAGACTTGTGAATTTAATGAGAAAAATGAGGATGCTTGCTGAGTGAGACTCATGCTGTGTGAAATTCTTTGGTGCTCAATGAGATGTGTAATTTAGATCAAATATTAGTGCATGCTATTTGAGGTAAAACCCATCTTTCTGTGGATTGCACTTTTGGGTAACATTAACGAAGGATAAGTGGACTATTCCTTTTATATTGGTCTGATTTATGTTGCTTCAGTGATAAGCCCCATACATCTAATAACTGTGAAGTTGAAATGGGCCTCTCAGGTTGAGGACTCTTGACTTTTAAGTGATTGCAAACATAGGAGGATGAAAGGGATCTGTGGCTGTTGGGTATTTTTCTTCTGCTAGGTGGACAGATGTTGAATGTGTGTTGTCATTTTAGCAGCTCTACTTGTTTTGTGGCTTTGGTTTATTTGTTGTATTGTTGTTTATTTGTTTTTTTTTTTTTTTTAAGCTCTAATTTGCCATCTTTTTTCAAGTTCAGGATTGTACGTTGGTTTTTGTGTGTATTGAAATGGCTTAAGAGAAATGGCTTGTATTTAGTAATCACAGTTTTGTGGCAATAATAGTGCCCTCAGTTGCTTTGTGTAAATTGGAGTACGCGTTTTCAGACAGTTTCTGTGGAACAAAACAATGCAGCACAATGCAGTGACAAAGTAGAAGGAAAATTGTTGAGACAACTTGCCACAGTCTGGCCTGATGAGGTATCATTTACCGACACCTGAATTACAGCGTCGTGATAAACTTGAACAATGGCAGTAAAATCTGCATTATTCATTGCATTTGATCTCTCATGGGATAAGGATCTTATCACTGTGTTCCTTGAATCATATATAAGAGAACATGTTATACAGCCCTCACACAACCCTGCTTCTGGTGGCACAGGGAACTTGATAGCCTTGACTTGAGCAGCATGAAAGTGCTGTTGGTGGTCTCAGCGCTGAGAAGGGTGTTTTATATCGTGAACCCTTTTTGACTAGTATGCCTTTAGCAAGCTCAAGTTTAAGTGTACTAATCCAGAGTTCATAAAATAGGCAAAATAATGCGTGTCAGAGATGCTGATCTAATGAAGAAAGCAGGTTGTTGGTATCTGGAGCTTGTTTTCAGAGATAATTCATGAGATGAGTGAGCAAGGCACATGTCAGTCTGAAGGTGCTCCAGTGAGCACTGCTGCTTCTCTTCAGTACTTTAAAGGCAAAGTCCAAAGTGAATTGTGGTGTGTAAGCATGAATATAGTAAGTGAAGGTAGACAGCACTTCATGTTTAAAATAATGGGTGGAAGGCACTGCAAGCTGCATAACTGCAAGCAATAGGTACTTGATGGACAAAGGACTTACGAAGGCTTTCATGCTCATCTAATGGGATGAGCTACTGAAAGCACTCACTTAGGGTACCAGAAGTTAATCATCCTCTTGTGCACTCGTTTCACAAGACTGTGCTGATTCCTGGGAGAAGTCTTCCAGGAAAAGCTGTGTAAGCAAGATGAGAATTTTGCTGTATATGATTGGGATGCAAACAACATGAGGGGTTGGGCGGGGGAACAGAAACAGCTTTGCCTTTACCACACTCAGAGCTGTTCTGCGGTCTGTTGTAAAGCAGTAAGATGCCTCTTAACATCCTTGCTTTCTCAGTAGCAGTGCATCTCACATAATCCTTCTTGTTTTTCAGATGAGTGAATTTGCAATCAGAAACATGGATCAAGTAGCTCCTGTCTCCAGTATGTACAGAGGAATGCTCAAGGTGAGCTCTCCTGAGTGAGCAGCTGCTAAACCCCTCTGATCTCATCAAATTTTTCCTAAATAAAGGTCCCAGGACTGGCAGCATGGTTGACCTTTATATGTCTATTTCGAGGAGAGTAGTGAAGTGCTGTTCTGATGCGACTAGTTAAGTCTAATTTGTTCAAGAGCATTTTATGAAAAAAGGAGGTTATTCTCTTACTACATGCAACTAAGTCCAGCACTTAGGAAGAGACCAAGGCTAGTTATTCATTATATTTTTATTGGTAGATAAGCTGTCTCTGTTACCTTGTTTTGAAATGAACTTACAAACTGAAGAGAAATCGGAAGCAAACTACAAAGATTCCATTTATTAAGTGCTTCTGTCCTGTTATTCACACCAATTACTTTTTTATCCCAATGTCATTTTTTTAACATAGCATTTATTAATGTGAACTAGGCAAGGATTAGGAGGACACTTTCAATTCTCATTAACTTTGAGCAATGTACATGTTTTGAAGAATCATTTAGTGAATCTTTAGTATTCTGACTCCTGATGTTTTATGGCCACTCTTACCTTTTTCTGTTGCCCAAACAACAGCAGTAGGGTACAAAAGAGATCCCCTAACTTGACAGCTGTGTACTCCTGGATGCAGTAGCTGTTTTTAAGCAGATGTTCAGTTGTGATATAATTAAGTCAAAATCAATATGTAGGTTCTACTACTCTGTAGCTGCTTTTTTTTTTTTTTTTTTTTTTTTTTTTTTTTTTTTTTTGTTATTTTGTTCTGTGGTAATTAGTCTTAACATATGTTGAAAGGCCACATAAAGTGGTTGCATGGCTGATAGGGCAAGCAGAGTTTATTTCTACATTACTTTGTTTTTTCTTTCCTTCCCTTTGGTTACCATTAAAACAAGAACCTATTTAAACGCTAACCCTTTTTGAAATATGAAACTAGTGCAGTATAGATTTTACTCATTCACATGCCACAGCATTTTTTCCAGTGACTCAGGATAAGGGTCAGCTATTTACACAAAATGCAGGAGTTTCCAGATTATGTTGAAAGAACTTGCCCTTTCTTCTAGGTACTAGCAATGAGTCAGTGCTTTTATCTCGTAGCATACCAAGTATTCTTTATTAACAGTTGCCCAATGTGCCAGTAGCTTGTTTTGTGTGGCTGTGAGCTTTTTTTCCATGGGTTGGCACTGAGTCTTTCCAGTACCTGTGGTGGGCACCTGGACTGATTATATGGAATTTGTCTCCACCGTCTGTCTGGCTCCCAGTGGGGATTCCTGAAGCCAGTTAACCCCTAGAGACATATTATGTTCTTCCACAGCTTTTTCTTGTTTTTTGTCAAAGCCTCATAGAGACAGCAAAAGAAAAGTTAGTGGGTACATGGAAATACCCTTGCAGTTGCAGAAACACGATTCAGATTGCTTTTGCCTCATAACTGAATACTGCCCTTAAGCGTGTTTGTACTTTGCTTTGGCATAAGCTGGTATACCACTGCATGTATGAAAGAAGGAAGTGTTTGGAAGGTGCCTTAGTCTCCACATCTCTGAGCTGCAATAGCTGCTGTTTGTGCTATAGCTTTTCAGAACAGTTTTCTATCTTCAGATGCTTTTAAAATCTCAGGGGCATCTTTTTACCTTGTTTTGCTTCTGGATATGACAGATACTGTTTCCTTGTGACTAAAGGGCAAGCTGCATAAGTTGTTTTTAAAGTTATTTTCTACTCTTTTGTATTTTCCTCCCTTCCCCTTACGAGGCTGGAGAGCTCTAGTGGTTGTACTCTGTGCTTCTAGGATGCACACTTGTCAAGTATGTCAAGGCAAGAAACTTAAGTTTTTAAAATGCATCTGTATCAGTATCTGTAAGGCTGCCATATATGAGTAGAATTTGTTTTTATCTGGACTATTTTCATTATGCTCATGTTTGTCCCTTTCTGTACAATTTAATTAGCAGTATTTCACTGAATGCTTGAAGACTGCAGAATGTAGTGGCTGGCAAATCATGTAACTCACAAGCGTAGAAGTCCTTAAGTCTTCTAAAGATGGCTGTACTGCTTGAAGATACAAGCAATGATGTACTTCAGGCTAGATTCTGTTTTTGTTGTTTTTTTTTTTTCTCCTGAAAATTACATACACCTATTGTAGGCCATGCACTACCAATTGCTTCTCCATCACTTATCCTGCCGTCAAAATCCCAAGCGATTAGTGAATTTCACAGAAGAAATGATAAGATTTCTTCAGAGCATATCTGAGTGTGTGTGTGTGTGTGTGTGTAGATATATTTGCATTCTCTATTGTTAAAAGCATCAATCACAGGAAACCTAAGAATATCCTTCCTTGGCTTTACCTGACTTGTAGAATGTGCTGCACAGTTAGTTCTGTGTTGTGAGCATTGGCTTCTTGTACGTGAATACAAAACAGCCGTGTTGCAATTGTGTTCAAGTATTTCAAAGGTAGGGGTTAGTTGATTTGAGGTAGTGGTTGTGCATGATCTCAAAGTTTAGGAAGTGGTTGGGTTTGGTTTCCTAGCAGCAGTGCTCTAGAAGAAAATCTAATGTTGGGGCTTCTGTTATTCTGTTGCTTTGCAGCGGCAACCAGCGTTTGACACCTTTGATAGCTCCAACTCCCTGTTTGCTGGCTATTTCTTACCGCTAAATGAAGATCAAACACTCCAGGAAGTGCCGACGGGATTTGATTCTACTTCTTACGGTAACTTTTAACTCTGTTCCTTGGTCCAATCTGTAGGTCAGAAAGAAATATGTGGAGTCTGAGTGTCAGATAATTTCCCTAAAAACAAACAAAAAATAACACTTTGTTTTATTACGTGGACTTCTGTGTACATATTTGATTTAAAACGTGTGAGTTGCTCTGTTGGTAGTTGCTGTTATCTGCTCTGAAAAAGACCGGGAACTGGGGCTGAGCAGTTTAAGATAGATTGACACTCCACAGAAGAGGCCTTAACTGTTATTAAAGTAGATCTAGTTCAAGCCCGTTTAAAATATTTAAATTTAAACAAAAAAATTATAACTGTATAAACTTAAAAATCAGTTATGGTTGAGGCATTGCAAATATTCGGCAAGCTCCTATTTTGACCCTCTGGCATTAAATCCTAGAACACAGGAATGCTTGTTTCCTTTCCTACTTCTCTTTTCCTTAGGAGTTTGTTTTAGTCCTTACCTTAAAAAACAGGGGATGTTTACATATGTGTGTGTGTATAGGACAGTACCTGCCAACAGTTCTGTGTAAATCCTAGCCTGAACTCCCTGGCTACTATTCTAACTGCCCCAACCCCCCCCAAAAAAGTCAGTATGTCAGTATTCTACCCAATGCTGCCTTTATTTCCTACTTGGAAAATGGATTTGGGGAAAGAAAAAAAAAAAAAAGCCCTAAAACCTATGGAAAAACTGCCAGTCCTTTGTTCTGCTGTGATTCTAATCAGTCACCTTCTCTGGTCAGCAAAGCAGGTCTTAACTGATATTTAGGATGGGTGTGGTGCAAACAGAAGCAAAAACATGGCTGGCATGAGCTCTGCTTGTTGGATCAAGTGGAGCCTGTACCTAGTGAGGACCTAGGAAAACGAGAAGAGCCACACACCTTCCTGAATGGACTTGAAGTCTGGCTTTACATACCTTGTCACCGTTATATGCTTCTCAAATAGCAGAATTTTCAAGTGCTACCTGTGTGCTAGTGTTCAGAAGCTTCCAAATATTATTCAGGGGTACCATAGGGAGGTGGTTCAGGTGTCCATAAATTATTCCTAGATGAGCAGTGTCAATCACAAACAAAATACCATTGAAAGATTTATTTATTTATTTTTTAATCTGAAACATTCAGGTGGTCTGGCTGACTTTTTTTTTCATCATCTTGTGAGCACTTTCAGAATAATCTGAGGCATCTTCCCATGAGAATTCTCCAACAAGATGGAGTGGAAACAAAACTTGTCCATAAAATAAATCTGGGCAGCCTGATCTGGTGGTTGGTGACCCTGTGTGTAGCAGGAGGTTGAAACTAGATGATCTTTGAGGTCCTTCTGAACCCAGGCCATTCTATGATTCTACCCATAATAGTAATCAATTTGTCATTTCAAATCTAGCTTGACTATAACTAACAAACATAAAAATCAATCATGTGGATTAGTAATTTGTGGATGATGTTGTTTTTGGATTTCATTGTATTATTTTAGGCACTGAGTGACAGCTTGTGACCAGTCACAGCTGTTTGGTTGAGGTGATTTGAGGAATACATGGGAAGGTTGGAAACAGTCCACTGGATCACATCGTTGAGTAGTGCATGCTAGTTCTTCATAACCCTATTATCAGTTGCATAGCTCTCAGACTAAATTAAGGCTGTCTGGAGTTATAATAAAGAAGTCTGGGGTCAAATTATAGATGAGAAAATAGGGATAAGCAGTCTCATATTTCCTTTAAAGAAAAAAAAAATACAGTAAAAGTTCACTACAACAAGGGCATGTCGTGCAAGTATGAACAATCAGTAATGATTTATGTGATGAACAGCAGCAAAGCTTTAATTTAGCATGATGCAATTTTAGCAACCCAGCACTACGAATTCTGTAGTGTTGAAAATATGTTAAGATAATTTGAAAACAGATCTACCTTGTTTGTTTTAAAATACCTGGTTTCTAGCAGCCTTTTATTATTCTTCAAACGGCACAACAAAAACCTGTCACTTCTTTGACTGGCCTAAAAGCTAATGCATCTCCTTTTTCCCCTCCTCCCCCTATTCTTTCTTGTAGAGTCCAACAACTGTGAATTGCCTCTGTTAACCCCGTGCAGTAAGGCTGTGATGAGTCAAGCCCTGAAAGATACTTTCAGTGGTTTCACAAAGGAACAGTGTCGGCTGGGTATACCAAATAGTAAGTGTTTTCTATTTATAAGGTCTTTTTTTGATGCTAAGGAGGGCACTGAATAGCGGTTCTTTCAAAAGAGAAAGAATGATGTCAGTAGGGAATACAAGAATGGATCCTATGTGAATCTGGCACAGCTTGACTTGGAAGGAGTGAACTTGCTGGTATTAAAAATGGGTGCATAGACAGCTCATATTTTGGCAGCATAAGAGAGTCGACGAAGCTGAGGGCATCTCTGATTAGAAGTGAATGCAGAAAGAAAATAGAGAGCTGCTTTTCTTTAAGTTCAAGAATACATTCATTCTGAAGCTTCATTCTAAAGCTTAAACTTCAGAAGTAACTGGGTTAAAAGTTTCTTTCATTCACTGCCTTTTAATGAAGACTATTTCAGGAGCTGACAAATGTTAGGATTTCTCTCAAATGCTGGATGCTTTCTGTCTTTCAGATCCCTGGCTGTGGACTGAACAGCAAGTTTGCCAGTGGCTTTCGTGGGCTACCAACGAATTTAGCTTGGCAAATGTGAACATCCATCAGTTTCTTATGAGTGGCCAAGACCTCTGCAACTTGGGCAAGGAACGCTTCCTGGAACTTGCGCCTGACTATGTGGGTGACATTCTGTGGGAACACCTGGAGCAGATGATAAAAGGTATCTATGGAGCCAGAAAAAGCTAAGGCTTTTCTGACAGAAGCAGAAATAGGATTCTTTCAAAAGCTAATGTCACTGTGAAGCATTTTTGTTACGTATCAAAAGTCAAGATGAAGTGTAAAGCGTGGTTAATGAGAGCATTATCAGAAGTAGTGCTGCATCCATCATAAGAAAAGTGCAAATGCAGGTATCTGCTGAAGTCATTCTGTGTTCAGGCAAAGTACCTCTTGCATTTGTGTTCTATTTGCATTAATAATTGAAATAATGAGATTAAGGCTACTGTAATACTCATTTATTAAAAATACATGTAGTCAACCAGAAGTAAGGCAGAACTTGCATATGGAGTTTTAGCAGCATCATCAGTGTTCACCCATGTGCTCCCTTGCTTTTGGAGCATAACACTCTATAGTTGCAAATGTTAAGATCTGGACCTTTAAATTACTGTTGTTTCATTGTTAAAATACCATTCATATGGAGATTTTCAAGTGTGCTGGAAGTTATGAGGTTTCTTCTGATGTTTGTTTTTCTGTGGGATTTTGGGGGCGTTTTAGGGGTATTTTTTCCCTTCTGAAAGAGTTTGATGCAGTACACTAGTAAAGCCTATGTAAATGATGACCCTAAAACACTTGAGTCTGAATCTTTTCTTATATGTGTCAGATCTTTAGAACTGTAAAACCAAGCTTTCTTTTTTCTCTACCTCTCAGACAGCCAAGAAAAAGCACAGGATCAATATGTGGAGAGCTCTCATCTCACCTCAGTTCCTCACTGGGTCAATAATAACTCCTTAAGTAAGTATCTTAAGAAATTTGACACTTCAGATATTGTAAGTTTATTCTAAGAAAGTCACAGATCCTTCTTTGAAAAAGCACCAGAACACTTACTGTGCATCAGGAGAACACTTCAATTGCTGCAGTTCTTTTTCCTACTATTGTTTGTCATCTAACTCATACCAGAAATCTTTTGAAGACTAAAGGGTATGGAAAGAAAAAAAAAAAAAAAAAAAAAAGCCAACAAATTTCCTCTTGGAATGCCAAAGCCTACATCTGTGGAGCAGAGTGACCACTCCCACCTCTAGCAAACAGCCAAAAAGCAGCAGCAGGAGCTATGTTTAGCTTTTCTGAGGGCTGTGGAAGCGTAACAAAACGTTTGACAGTGTACGGTATAACCATAGAGACCAAGTGCTAGATCCTTCAGATTGTGCTTTTGGTGCCATGTTTTACTGAAACCACAGTTTGATCTCTAGATTAGCCTTATTGCATCACTCAATGATGAGAGCCTGCCTCAAAACCACTTAAGTTTCTCCAGCTTTTTCTGCAGCCCTGCAGTGTCTTTCAAGAACAAACAATATACGTATTTGTGGTGTGAAGATACAGATGGAGATTAACAGAGTCTGACTTGGAGACCAGTAAATGGGAGTCTCATCACTGATGTCAGTAGCCATTCTAGGAGGTCCACAGCATCTAATAAACCTCTGTCAGATTTCTAAAGAGGGAAACTACTTAGTGGCACAGCTTTTGTGGGGTTCTTGAGGTGTATTAGTCTGTTCAAGGAGAAAACCACTTTAATTCATTCTTTCATATTTTTTTTTTCTTTCAGCTGTTAATGTGGATCAGACCCCCTATGGTATGCAGATGCCTGGGTACCCTAAAGCCCTCAGTTATCCCAAACCCAATCTCCTGAGTGATATCTGCCAGACTTCCACAGGACCAAATCTCCTTAATCCAGAACAAGACTTTCCATTGTTCCCCAAAACCCAAGTGGATGCAGTTAGTGTGAACTACTGTGCAGTAAATCAAGATTTCACAAGAAGTAATCTGAACTTGCTGATAGATAATTCTGGTGAGTTACTGTCTGTATGACAATAATGGGTTCAAGGCAATATTCTCTGTCTTTTCCTCCCTTGCATAGTTTATATACAAGCTTGAAAAGAGAAGGAAAAACATTTTTCTTTTTTTTTTTTTTTCTTATAAAGGTAAACTTAGAGAACATGAATCTAGTGAAAGTGGTGCAGAAAGCTATGAAAGCTCAGATTCGATGCTGCAGTCCTGGAACAGCCAGTCATCACTAGTGGATTTACAGCGTGTGCCATCCTATGAGAGTTTTGAAGATGACTGTAGCCAGTCCTTGTGTATGAGCAAACCTACAATGTCTTTTAAAGACTATATTCAAGATCGAAGCGATCCTGTAGAGCAAGGGAAACCAGTTATACCAGCAGCGATTCTAGCTGGCTTTACTGGTAAGTTGTGAAGCAAAATGGTCACTACTCATGCTACAAAATATCTTCTATAAATGCATATTGGTGCTGATAGAGTTGTGTAGTTGTAAAGTATGTCTTATAGTGTGGTGAAAGTCCACAACTCTTGAAGGTTTTCAATTTTAAGTGTACATAGGAGAAGTCTTATGGGACTATCTGTCTAAAGCAAGAAAACTTGGGTACATCAGAATGCTGTGAATATCAAATGCTCCTTCTGATTATTTTGAAAAAAGAAAAGCTTGGACAAAGCCTTCCCCAGTTCTGGATTCCTGCAGATGATGGCTTGCCTGTTAGGACCTTGTTCCTGCAGTCCTTGCTAAAATCAGATTTTCCTCTAGAAAGTCTGCCAAGCCAAGGGAGTGGAAGGGAGGGATGAGGAATCTACTTGCAAACAATGGAAGACATAGCTTGCATCAGATCCAATGTTTCCATGAAAAATGTTAATTTTTAACCTATCTATGAACAGACTTGTAGAGGAAAAATCTTAACAATAAAGCTTTTTTCCTTCTATTTAAAAACAAACAAACAAAAAGACTAATCACCAGATTGACCTTGTGATCTGAATATGGTTGCATATATTAATGGTGATACGAGCTTGCAGAACTATTAATTATGACTTCTCCCCACCCCTGCTCTCTTAACAGGCAGTGGACCTATACAGCTATGGCAATTCCTGCTGGAGTTACTGACTGACAAGTCCTGCCAGTCATTTATTAGTTGGACTGGAGACGGATGGGAATTTAAACTTGCTGACCCAGATGAGGTATGTGTTTAATTGTGGTGTACAGAAAGATTTTAGGGTCTCATCTGTTATCTCTGGGCTTCCTCTAGACTATAAAGCATTTGTGAGATCAGACACTTGCTGAAATCTCTTCATCTGCAAATACTTTACTGTGTGGTCAGGACTGCTGTGGGATGTGCTCCCCCTCTCCTGGGATATCAGCATTTGCTTATAGTAATGAGAACACATTGTGTAGCTTGAAACTTAAAGCATATGAAGTTAGATGTTTTGACAGGCTAAGCAATACTGTAGGCTAGCTTACTGAATACAGTTGAATCAGCAACGTCTGGGATTGCACAAATTCCCAGGGAAAAAGCACTGAAGGTATTACAGCTCTTCTAGTAAACAGCCAATGTGATAGTGCTGCATTTTAAACTTGTTGGGAAATTATGGCTTTAGTCATGAAAAATTAGGAGACCATACCTTTGTTTCCTGACTGCTGCTACCAGTAGGAAAGTTACTGCATTAGGAGATACGATTTAAAGTCCCCTGAATCCTGTTTTATTTCAAGAAGGGAAGGGGAATCATCAACTCCAAGGAACTTCTTAGAATTAAACTTCTGTTTAAAAAGCTGTCCCTTCTTCTTAATAGCAAATTAAATCTTTAATTGTGTCTTTTTTGAGAGAGGTGACTACATTTCACTTAAGCTTGATCTTCTTAAAGATATTTGGGCCCATCCTCTGCAAGGAAGTGTTCTTGCCGTCATTTGCAACCACCACTTTGTCTTGTATGACCTACTTTGTCGTGTAGCTCATACTTGTCTCGGGGTTTGAGCCACCAACTCTGTGTTATCCAAGTTTGGGACACCCAAACAAGTAAACTGCTTTGATTGAAATGGGGTTTTAATAACTGCCTTTATCAGCTGCTGACCAGAAAAGTGTGACTTGAACAAACCCTTTACATTTGTTTTCTTTTTGTACTGGCAGGTGGCACGGAGGTGGGGAAGGAGGAAAAACAAGCCAAAAATGAACTATGAGAAACTCAGCCGAGGGCTGCGCTACTACTACGACAAGAACATCATCCACAAGACCTCGGGGAAGCGCTACGTTTATCGCTTCGTGTGCGACCTGCAGAACTTGCTGGGATACACGGCGGAGGAGCTGCATGCGATGCTGGGGGTGCAGCCCGACACTGAGGACTGAGCCCAACCGTCTGGTGCTGCACGAGCAGGGAGCGCTTGTTGGGACTGTGACCAGGAGCCGTCTGCAGTCAGTCCTTCTGGCTGTTCGGATGGGTGCAACTGTGATGAAATAAGGACCTTGACTGATTTTGTAACCAGGGAAAGTTGGAAGGAAGTGGCCTTATTTCATCAGTGGCTTCAGATGTTGCTGTGTCAGGCACTTGAGCAGCATGGAAGTCGATACAGATCACAGCTCTGTCACGACGACACAAAAATGCTTTAGGGTTGAGCGTTTTGACCACCTATTCTGCCATATAAAATGTTTTGGCTACTTACACTGCCATGTAATGATGGGTTGGCTTTAAAACCAAAGGTTGGATGAGGAAACTGGTGATGGAGCTGAACAATTGCTCAGATTCTTTTTTCACATGCCATCATCCTTGCTTCCATCTCCTATCATGCAATTATTTAAGAAAAACTAATTTATTTTGAAAGAGCGGTAAGAAGAATTGATATTAATGTTTTGTTCTCAAGCATGGTTTTTTTTAACTATTATTATTATTACTCCAGAAATGTGCTGCATAGGTACATCAACACTCTGTGTCCAAAACCAGATGTAGCAACTGTCAAAAACAGAAAAAACCCTCATGAGAAAGGAAGGAAAATCATACCATTTCAATATTCAGTTTTGTATATATTCTGTGATTCTTTTTGCAACTACGTAATGTTCCTATTTAACAGATCTGTATAGTGTAAATTAAACTAATTGTATGTGTGTTTGTTTTTTTTTTTAAATAGGACGAATGTAAATCTATTGAATGGCTATTTCATGTTTGTCTAGGATATACAACCTTCTGCAAATATTTAATTGGCCTCAGAGACAACATAAGTACTGAGTATGCATGCATATGGTATGCCAATGCCATGACACTGGGGGGTGGGTGCGGTGGGAAGCTGGCTCAGTGTTTTGTTAAGACTGAAGCTGGCAGTTCTTTGTGCATTTTGGCATTTTTACATGAAACTAATATTATATTCTTGGACATTAAGGGCCTATTTGTGGTTTCTTCTTTAACTGAAAATGAAAATACTAATATGGATAAAATTAACTTTTTCCTTTACAAATGGCATATGTTTTTCAACTTCTATGCATGTCCTTTTAAAAAAAAAAAAAAAAAAAAAAAAAAAAAAAAATTATATACAAGCCTTATTTTTTCAGTTGACTTGTCTCTTCTTCCTGCAGTTTATCCTGTATGATTAAGATATGAATTCTATTTTTGGAATAACTGTGACTCCTTTTCAGAGAACAGGAGGGATTTATGTAGCAGCTATTTTTACTGCACAAAAAAAAAAAAAAAAAAAAAAAAAAACCACCATAAAACAATTCACTGGAAAAATGTACTTTGTAAGAAAGCTTTATTTTTTATCTGAGCTTGGTGTACATTTAAATGTTGTAAAGTGTGAGAGGTTTAAAAATGAGTCCTTATTAAAACCTCTTGAACAAGGGAGAGGAAGGTACTGTGCTTCTTTACCTCGATATTACGGAGTGTAAGGGAGGGTGGGGGGAGGAAGTCCTCCAGCCTGGATCTCTGCGGAAGTATGTGGGGGGAAAAATAGTAAAAATTGGGCAGCAGAGAGCTTCTTAAAGAAAAATCTGTAAGACTCTGGCAGGCTAATGGCCTTGGACAGGTTAAAGGTATACCAGTGTTCTCTGTTTAGGTATAAATTGGAAGCTAATGTCTTTGTTCTGTGTGTTTGAAAGAGAACTGGTGGTTCTGAGCTGTGTTGCGTATTAATGTGTAACTATGGGTAAATATAGGAGAGAGCAGGTGTGTGAAGACTGCTGGTGCTTGACCTGTTCTTGCTTCTGTCTCACACAGTGAACCTACTGTTGTCGCTATCTTGATCTCGTGTTCTTCTCCATCCCCCCATGTTACAGAAAAGCAGGAAATAAGAAACCATTCACTTTAAATCATCTATTAAAGAAATAGGAAAATGGGATGTTAATTGTTTTTTAAAAAGGGACTTTCCCTAGGTTTCCTCATCTTTCTATCAAAAGGTGGCTGTACTTTGATCTTGCTTTCAGTACTGTCATCCTGGTGTAGCAGCACGTTAACAACTTGAAGAAAATGGATGTATTTTTATTTTTTAAGAGTATGCCCTTCTAAATGTCTGGAGCTGAAAGAGTAGACCTGCATCTTGCACTGTAGCTGCAGTCATACCCGTACATTTGCAGATAGCTTCTGTTAGTCTTACTTTTATGATCCCTGAGAAGGAAAAGGAGCCTCCTGCACCCTTCCTCCTTCACCCCAACCACTGCTGCTGGCTTAGGTACAACCCAGTGAGCGCTGACCACAGATGGTATCATTCTGATGGTGAAGAGGATGAAAGGGCGTAAAGCAATCTGCAATTCTGTGAGCTGAGACAGAACTTGGCAAAAAGAGAAAACAAAAAAGAAGTTTTTCTTGTGCTTCGAGTAATATTCCTAAAAAGATATTGCTACGCTTTAGCTGCTTGAATGATCTGCTTTGGTCATCTAAGTCGGCTCTTTTGAGATGAGATACATTACTTTTTAGGAAATAATGTATAGTCTACAATGTTTTTTTTTCTTCCCTGGGTGTCTTTCAACTGGGCTACTAACCTGTAATCTTTCTCTCAGTCTGTAGAAGTTTCATTTTCAGTCTGTTTTCCTAAATACAGAACTGTTTTTCATTTACACTGAAAGATAATTTGCTTCTTACTTGCATAGTCAATGCTAGCTTAAACCTAGAGGCTGGAGGGAAGTTATTTGCTTTGCTCACTTAGCAGAAAAAGCAGAAGAACCAACCATGCTGCCACACAACCTGCACTGCATCTTCAGAAGCAAAATCTGCTATCCTGCCCTGCGTTGGGTCAGTGCAGTGGTACAAGCTGCAACTCAGTGTGACCCAGAAGACAATCATTAAAGGGTATTTTGTCAGAGCACACAGAAAATACTGCTCTGTTTTCTCAGCCACCCAGAGTCAAAGAGGCTGTTGAAAGTCTGGCTAAATTCTTCATCTTCTCCTGGACATGTCTCCCTGCCCTTCCTACTGCCAGCTTTCCTCTTGAGATGGCAGCCAAAATAAAGTGTTGCAGTTGGCACCTACCCATAGTTGGCCTGTCACCTCCAATAACAAAGTTTGATTTCAAAGCCCTGTCTGCTCTTTTATATATATATATATATACATATATATATACAAAAAAAAAAAAATATAATTTCATTCTTTAAAAAAAAAAGAAAAAAAAGAAAAAAAAAAAGACACCACCACCTCTGGCTTGGGAAGTCTGTAAGCCACAAGGGCTCCATGTCCAACAGGCTATTTTGGGAAATATTTATCTACTGTGCCCTATTTGTAGGCTCAACTTTTGACCACAGTCAGGTACAGGATAAGATCATTAGAAACAGGGCAGATGATGGATCACTCAGCCCAGTCCTATATTCCGCAAGTGGGAGATGGAATGAGCAACCTTGTTCCTTCCCCATGTACTGCTCCAACACCCTGCGTTTGGTGTGCAGGGGGGAACACCCTGCTCACATCCTTTACTACCTACTTAAGAATTTCTTGCCTTGCTTGAGCTGTAAGGAGACCTCTTGACCTCTCTCTGCTGACTTGTCCTCAAGCAGGGAAGACCAGCCCCTCACACAGGGGCTCACGTAAGAGTACACCGAAATTTCAACAGCAGCAAAATAAAACTCTCTCCTCAGTACACTTCCTCATGATGGAAGGCCTATTTTTGGATTTTTTGGTCGTCCCTGCACACTGAGGTGATCACTTCAGAGAGCTATCAGTGATGACTCTGATCTGTTTCCTGATAACTACCATTTTCAAGGTTGGCATCATCTAGTGTTTATCTAGGTTATTTTTCTTTGAGTGCGTTACCTTACATTAATCTACACTGACTTTCATCTGCCACATTTTGTCCACTAGCTTGTGAGGCCCTTCTGGAGTTTCATGCTGTCTCTGTGACATTTGACCACTCAAACTACTCAGCATTATCTGCAAACTTGGAGATTTCAGCAACTGCTCATTAGTCCAGGATTAGCCACGATTTCTGCCTCTGGTCGGAGCTAAAGTGGCTATTCTTATGCTAAGTGCCAAGAGGGCTAATGGAAGATTCAGCACTGTTTCTCAAGTTTGAGATCCTTATGGTGTCAAGCAAGGTTGAGCAGCCAGTTTGCTGCTCTGGACTTCAGGAGAGCAGACTTCAACCTCTTCAGGAAGCTGCTTGACAGGGTGACTTAACATAAAGCCCTGGGGGGAAGAGGGGCCCAAGAAAGTTGGTAAGTATTCAAAGACCATCTCATCCAAAGCCAGAAACAGTGCATCCTGAGAGAAAGGAAGGTAAGCAAGAATGCCAGGATGCCTCTGCATCAACAACATGCTCCTGGACGTACTAAAGTGCAAAAAAGAAAGTCTATAGGGAGTGGAAGTGGGAATGGGTTACCTGGGAGGACTACAAAGAAGTTGTCTGAGCAGCCAGGAATCAGATGAGGAAAGCTAAAACGCGGATAGAATTAAATCAGCCAGGGACATAAAGGGGAACGAGAAGAAATTCTACACGTTTATCAGTGATAAAAGGAAGGACAGGGAAGATGTGGGCCCTCTCTAGAAGGAAACTGTAGACCTGGTCACAAGGGATATAGAGAAAGCTGATGTACTCAATGACTTCTCTGAGTCTTCACCAGCAAGGGCTCTAGCCACACTGCTCAAGCTGCAGAACACAAAGGTAAGAATCTGGAGAAGGAAGATCTGCCTGCTGTAAGTGAAGATCAGAATCAAGACCATATAAAGAACCTCTCACCCCTGTACCTGGCAAGATCATGGAGCAGATCCTTCTGAAGGCCCTACTAAGGCACCTGGAAAATAGAGATGAGGTCATTGGTGTTAACCAACATGGATTCACCAAGGGCAAGTCATGCCTGACAAACTTGGTGGCCTTTTGTGATGGAGTTATAATGTCAGTGGGTAAAGAAAGAGTAACGGACATCATTTACTTGGACTTGTGCAAAGCATTTGATGCTGTCCCACATGACACTCTGGTTACCAAACTGGAGAAAAATTGATTTGATGATGGACTACTCACTGGAGAAGGAATTGGCTAGATGGTCACACTCAGTGTCCAAGTGGAGACCAGTGACAACTGGTGTTCCTCAGGGATTGGTACTGGTACTGGTGTTATTTAACATCTTTGAAGGTGACAATGGACAGTGTTATCCAGCGCACCTTCATGAAGTTTGCAGACAACACCAAGCTGAGCAGTGCAGTTGACACTCTAGAGGGAAGGGATGCCATCCAGAAGGATCTGGACAGGCTTGAGAGGTGGGTCCAAACCAACCTCATGAAATTCAGCAAGGCCAGGTACAAGATCCAGCAGCTGGGTTGTGGCCATCCAAGCACAGATACATACTGGGTGGAGAATGACTTGAGAGCAGCCCTGAGGAGAAGGATTTTTGGGTGTTGGTTGGTGAAAGGCTCTACATGAGCCGGCAGTGTTTGCTTGAAGGCCAGTGGGCCAACTGTATCCTGGGTTGCATCAAGAAAAGTAGGTTGAGGGAGATGATTCTGCCCTTCTACCCCACTTGGAGTACTGGGCCCAGTTCTGGAAACCCCAACACAAGAAGGACATCGAGCTGTTGTAGCGGGTCCAGAGGAGAGCCACAAAGATGATCAGAAGGCTGGAGCACCTATCCTATGAGGACAGGCTGAGAGAGTTGGGGCGCTTCAGCATGGAGAAGAGAAGGTTCTTATGGGACTTTACAGCAGCCTTCCAGTACCTGAAGGGGGCCTACAGAAAAACTTGGGTGGGACTTTGTATAAGGGCAGGTAGTGACAGGATGAGGGAAAATGGCTTTAAACTGGAAGAGGGTAGATTTAGACTATATATCATGAAGAAATTCTTTACTGTGCGGGTGGTGAGACACTGGAACAGGTTGCTCTGTGAGGTTGTGGATGTCCCTTCCCTGGAAGCACCCAAGGGCAGGCTGGATGGAGCTTTGAGCAACCTGGTGTAGAGGGAGTGTCCTTGCCAATAGGAGGGCAGTTGGAAGTAGATGATCTTAAAGGTCCCTTCCAGCCCAAACCTTTCAATGATTCTATGATTCTGTGACTCTATGATTATGTGTGCTACTACTGGCCCCGAGGCATTGTTCTGCTAAATCTTTTGTAGGATTTCCCTCACCATGAATAGGTTATGGGCCACCATTCTTGTGATGTGGGACCGCACCTGGAACCTCTCATATTCTTATTGAATTAGCCTCTTGGAATTGAAGAGGAAGCAAGAACTAAAAAGGCATATACACACTCATAGAATCATAAAATATCTCAGGTTGGAAGGGATCCATAAAGTTCGAGTTCAACTCCTGGCTCCACAGAGTCATCCAAAAATCAGACCATATACCAGAGCATATGTTCAGAGCGCTAGTTAGTATTGTGGATGCCCTCTTCAAGGATGGTCCAAATTTTGATGGTAAGGAATTGCCAGATGT